GTAAATTGGTGGCACAGCTGTGGATGCATATAAGGCAAAACACAGATCCTGTTTCTTTGACATGGGAAAATCAAGCAATGTCAACCAAAACACCAGGAAAAGAATTGTGGAGCTCCATAAGTGTGGCTCAATTTGAATACAATTTGGTGCCATTTGCAATTAAGAAATACAGATAGTTTCTCTCTTTACTCTTACATTTTTTTATATTTATCGATCTATAAAAATAAACATTTAGTCTGATTTGATGTTACAATTAAAAAATCTTTTTTTTATCTTAAGGGTATGTAAATATCTGGTTTCAACTGTATATTTGATGATGTTGGTGTTTGGCTTGATTGTCAGCACAAAGAGGGAGAGAGAGGAACAGAGAGAGAGATGGAGAGGAGAATGAGGACAGAACAGAGATGGAACAAGAGCAGGTGAGACGCACATGTCAAATGGTTATTTGCCAAAACTCTTCAGAACATGTATCTAGCAGCTAGTGTATCTTTTTAGATACCATTTGTTACTTTTCAAATTCTATATTTATTAAGTTATGCAGGCATGTTTGTGCAACAAGGCTAAATAATTATATAACCGTTTCTGTATCTAAATAGTACTGTGTTGTATTTATCTGCAACACCTTAAAGGCCGGTCCGTGAAAATATTGTCGGGCATAAACCGGTCCGTGGTGCAAAAAAGGTTGGTGACCGCTGGTCTACAGCATTCTACCTCTCAAGGACACGTAGTCTAATGCCTGTATTTTTCATGGCCATGTCCACTTAATACTACACTATATGGTTATATGGCATTTTAGTTAATATACAGCATAGAATTGAGGCACTTCAAATATTTTCATCTCAACACCTCCTCCCTGGAGATAAGGAGTCTCACTATCTGCCTCATGTCTCATGGTGCCTGGGAGTGTCAGTCCAACTCACTCACAATACCCATCTGTGTGTGGAATAACCTGTGAAATACATATTTGATGTTTTCCTGTATGTAGAACAAAGCCACACAAAATGTACTATAGATATTACTAAAGTCATTTTGTCAAAACATATGATCAACACATAAAATAAAGAAATGTCCATCACAAGAGTTAGCAGCTTACACAAGAAAAGACGTCAGAAAGAATATGAAAGAAGAAAAGTGGATTTTTAATGAGGTCATGCTGAGCCTCTTGTCCCGATTGTTTTATGTTGGGCTCAGAACAAACAACCAATACTCAGATCAGGTCCAGTACACAACAATTATGTATTAAGCACATATGTGGGAGACGTACACGATACCACCCTCAGTGTAGTCGGGTAGATCTCACAGATGTGTGGAGGCGTGGAAGAGACGACCCAAACGCAGGACTCACGGTGCAGAACAAAGAGGATTTATTGGTGCGAGTGAATGGACAAAGCAGCAATGGCAAGACTGACTAGCTGACTGAAAGACTGAGTGGCTGGCTAAATAACTGAACACAGACGGGAACGACAACATAACATCAATGACACGACACTGGACTGGTGGAACTGAGGAACATAAATACACAGGCTGAAAAATGAGTGACTAGAGACAGGTGAGAGAACAGCTGAGCATAATGAACTAATGATAAATGGGAAGGGAGCTAGAACATAATGCACAGAGTAAGGCTAACACAATAAAACAGGAAGTAGAACATGCAGAGGATAAACAATGAACAAGAACTGAAAATACCAGGTCAACGGCCCAGGAACCCTGAGAAAAAGAGGAAGCACGAGAACTTCTTTATTTAAAGGGTTGTACACACCCGAGATGCATGAGCAAGTTACATATCATGCATCAGCGACAGTTAGCTGCATCTGCTTTTTACAACACTTAGAATGCAGTTTCGAGACCCTTTCACCCCCAGCTGTTTCCTGTTGATC